CTTAGGAATGGGAACTAATACAGATCTCCTCCAGCCTAGCATAGACAGGTGAGCACATCTAGGGATGCAAGCTGAAGCATGTAAATCGGTATCCGGTTCATTACTGGGACTTTATTTTTTTCCAGTGCTTTCAGTGCAGCTTGAACTTCTTCATTAGTTCTTTCAATGTTTCCTAGATCATTCAAGATTTTACCTATAACATCTCTCCATATTGAACTGCCTTTTAATTATTTTAGCATCTGTGTATAACTGAAATTAGGGCTTCTCTCCTTTGTTTTTTAAGTTAATTGGTTTCTTTTCTATAAAGCAGAATCAGAAACAGAGAGTTAAAAAGGAAAAAAAGTCCCCTTCTCTTCCTCACGTCGGCCAGGTGCAGATTAAGACGCCACCTCCCTGAAAGGGTCCCTGGGGAACCTGGCCACCTCCTATTCAGAAGACCGAATGTAGAGCCAGTGCCTTAGGCCCCAGTTATGTAACTGAAAAGAATCCATGACTGGGAGGCTTCTGTGGCCCTGGAAAGTGGATGGACTCCATTTTTTTGATCCCTGGACTTTGAGGCAAAACCTTCAACTGAGGACTTGGGGGACAAGAAAGAAGGAGAAAACATCAAGCTCAAAGTCATTGGACAGGATAGCAAGGAGATTCAGTTAAAGGTGAAAATCAATCACAACACACCACAAGAAACTCAGAGAATCATACTGTCAGAGATGGGGATTCCAATGCATTCACTCAGGTTTTTCTTTGAAGGTCAGAGAATTGCTAATAATCGCATTCCAAAAGAACTGGGAATGGAGGAAGAATATATGATTGAAGTTAATCAGGAACAAACAGGGGTCATTCAACAGTTTAGATAATCTTTTAATTTTTTTCCCTTTAATCCTTTTTTATTTTTAAAAATCGTCCTTTTGTAATGTGCTGTTCCAAACAGTTGAAAACTGGTACCTATGTTCAAAACATCTGGTATTTTGAATTCTAGTGTTCATTATACATTATTGTTTGTTTTAATTGTGTTGATTTTTGGTGAGCAAACTTCAGGCCCGTTGATATTGCCCTCTCTTCTTAAAAATTACTGTGTGCACAGAGAGGTCACCTTTTCCGGGACTGCATATTCAGGCTTGTGGGGTAAATAAGATCAACCAATGCAAGTGTTCAAAATGACTTTCCATTGGGCCCTGAAGTTCTAATACATGACTGCTTCTCTCCTGGACTATGACTTTCAGGGGGAGATGGAAGTTTTTCAGAGAGCTCAACTGTGGGAAAATGACTTTTCCTTAACTTGAAGCTGCTTATCTGAGGGTCTGGATAAAAAGAAGAAGAATGTCAGGTTGGAGTCATTAAGACATATAGTGAGAATAATGACTAACTCCAGAGATGGCTTCACTGCAGAGACATTAAAATTCTTGTCAGAAGATCCCAGAAAAATTCTGAATTCCATTGGTGGTTAGTTATTCACACAGAAGTATATATATCAGAACACTGCTCTTTTTTTATTTGTACTTTTTGGCCTAGGATATGGGTTTTAATGGACATTGTACCAGCTTCATTAAAATAAACAAAATATTTGTAAAAACCGTGAAGAAAAAGAAGACACAGCACATGACTTTGGGAATCTCACAAAGATATTGAAAGAGTCAAAAAGTTTTATCTACAAAAGAAAAATTATCACTGAATTATAGAAATGCAATGAAGAGAACTTTAAAGGTCATCAGTATTGTTAGACTGTCTCTGTCCATTTGCAACAATATTCTTTAATGTTACACTGATAGGAATTGTATGTTTTTCTACTAGTAAGTCAATAGAAATATAAGATGGTGAACTGAGCACTGATACTTAAATGTCTCACCACTGGGCCAATTGGCAGCACCATAACAAATGGAGAAGTTAGCAATTCTAGTTTATTCAATGACACAATCAATACCCTTGACAACAACAATCAGGATAAATTGATAAAAGATAAATTGCACTGGAAAATTTACTGTCAGAGACCTCTCCAGAGTTCTAAAGAGCAATGATGTCAGTTCAGAGACTAAGGTGCACCTGATCCAGGCCGCAGTCTTTGTAATTACTTGCTACTATTACTTGTCAGAAAGCTGGACAATGAATAAGGATGAGAAAAGAAGAATTGATGCCTTTGAGTTGTAATGTTGGAGCAAAGTACTGAATATAACATGGACTGCAAAAAGAACAAGCTAAGGTAAGGATTTTGAAGATCCCTTTTAAATATACTTTAGGCATGTGGCCAGGTGAGACCTGTCCTTGGAGGACACCATACTTGGAAGGGTAGAAGAACAGCACAAGAGAGGAAGAACCAGGGTGAAATAGATTGACACTGTAGCTAAGATAATGGGGGTAGTTATGTCATAGAGAGTGAGAGTGGCTCAGGATATGGTAGGATTCAGAGCTATTGTACATAGGGTTTTGATGAGTTGCAGTTGACACAATGACATGTAATAGTAATAATAACAACTTTCCAAGTCCCATTATAGTGATAGAAAAATTTTAAAAATAAAATCACATCTGTAGTGAAGTAGGGAATAACGGTGCTGGCAGGTATGCTAGACAAAAAAATCTGAACTTTTCCCCTTATGAATATTGGATGAGTATTACATAACTCCGAAAATACTCATTTGAATGTGAAATAAAGATAAAGTTCCCATTACAAACAAAAAAGGAAATGAAATTTCAGTTTAAAATTTGTAAATGTCATTGTTGTTCCCCTGGGGAAAGATGAGGGAAGACACAGACCACTTGTGAACTTGGCATTTAAAGCCTCTGTGGAGTTGATAGATAACAATGTTTGCCTGAAAAAGGCAGATATTTAGTGTGTTACTTACCTCGACTCTTAGCTTGTCGGGGATGGTAACCGGAACCCGCTGTCCACTCCTGTTGTCCTTGCTTTCTAACCCATAGTCAAAATACGTGAGTGCATCTCCATCCATGTTGGCCAGGCTGGTGTCCAGACTGGCAATGCCTGCTGGGAGCTCTACTGTCTGGAGCATGCTGGCAAGCATGTGCCCAGGGCGGTGTTTGTAGACCTGGAACCTACAATTATTGATGAAGTTCGCACTGGCACCTACCGCCAGCTCTTCCACCCTGAGCAGCTCATCACAGGCAAGGAAGATGCTGCCAATAATTATGCCCGTGGGCACTACACCATCATCAAAGAGATCATTGACCTCATCTTGGACCAAATGAGAAAACTGGCTGACCAGTACACAGGTCTCCAGGGCTTCTTGGTTTTCCACAGCTTCGGTGGGAGAACCGGTTCTGGCTTCACATCCCTGCTGATGGAGCGCCTATCTGTTGATTATGGCAAGAAGTACACACTGGAGTTCTCCATTTACCTAGCCCCCCAGGTTTCCACAGCTGTGGTCGAGCCCTACAACTCCATTCTCACCACCCACACCCTAGAGCACTCAGATTGTGCCTTCATGGTAGACAATGAGGCCACCTATGACATCTGCCGCAGAAACCTTGATATTAAATGCCCAACCTACACTACCTTAACCACCTTATTAGTCAGATTGTGTCCTACATCACTGCTTCCCTCAGATTTGCTGGTGCCCTGAATGTTGATCTGACAGAATTCCAGACCAACCTGGTGCCCTATCCCCGCATCCGCTTCCCTCTGGCCACATATGCCCCTGTTATCTCTGCTGAGAAAGCTTACCATGAACAACTTTCTGTAGCAGAGATTACCAATGCTTGCTTTGAGCCAGCCAACCGGATGGTGAAATGTGACCCTCACCATGGTAAAAACATGGCTTGCTGCCTGTTGTACCCTGGTGATGTGGTTCCCAAAGATGTCAATGCTGCCATTGCCACCATCAAGACCAAACGCAGCATCCAGTTTGTGGATTGGTGCCCCACTGGCTTCAAGGTTGGTATTAATTACCAGCCTCCCACTGTGGTGCCTGTTGGAGACCTGGCCAAGGTGCAGCGAGCTGTGTGCATGCTGAGCAATACCACAGCCATTGTTGAGGCCTGGGCTCACCTGGACCACAAGTTTGATCTAATGTATGCCAAGCGTGCCTTTGTTCACTGGTACGTGGGTGAGGGGATGGAGGAAGGAGAGTTTTCTGAGGCCCGTGAAGACATGTCTGCCCTTGAGAAGGCTTATGAGGAGGTAGGTGTGGATTCTGTTGAAGGGGAGGGCGAGGAAGGAGAAGAGTACTAATTCCTTTCAGCCCTTTAGCCTGTCACACTCAGAATTGACAAAGCTTTCTGGCTAGATTGTCTCTATCAATGTAATCATGTCTTATTTTTCCATGTGTTCCTCTAAGATTTTTTTCCATCATGTCTCAAAGTAAAAAGAAAAAGAAAAGCAAAAAAAAAAGGGCAGATATTTGAATCTAAAGTCCTTGCAGAATAAAATCTGAGCCCTCGAGATGTTTCCCTTCTTACTAAATATATGATTTAGGGGTTAGAAATCAAACCCAGGCATAGACATATGACTAAGAAATCATTCTTTTTTAAAAAAAATTTTTTAATATATTTTGTGTGTGTACAGTCAAATCAGATCTGACTTGTACAGGAAGAGATTGTCCCTCCTTCTCCAGCAGGGCATCTGGTGGATTCGAACAGCGTGCCTCTGGGATTGCAGTGCAGCTTCTTGCCACTAGGCCACCAAGGCTCCCTGAAATCATTCTTTAATCTACTCTGGAGCAGGAATGGGCAGGGTTTGATCTGTGGTTCAGAGGGCTGCTGTGAGTAGTAGTAATTGACTTGATGACACCTAACAACAACAACAGCACCATTCTGAAAGAAATAGAAACTTCCCCCTGAAATAACAAACCCTAGAACTGTACCTATCATAATTTAGGCATGGTTTTGGATACTTCAAATAAAGAATTATCACAAAAAGCTACTCTGGGGCCAGTAACACTTCAAAAGCTTAATCCAGTTGCTGTCAAACTAATTTCTACGCATAGAGCCTCTACATAACAGAGTACAACTGACCACAGGGTTTCCAAAGATGTAAATCTTAAAGAAAACAAAACTCCTGACCTTTCTCCTGCAGAAAGGCTGTGTAGTTCCAAATATCAGCCTTTTGGTTTGTAATTGAATTCCTTAATCACTGTGTCTAGGGTTCCTTCTCTAAACCTTAGAGGATACACATGTAGAATTGCTTGTGAAGAACACAGTAAGCTTCCCAGTCTAATATGGCAAATTCAGTCAAGTTATTTACCATGTGCAAGATTCAAAATATGAGGTAAAACATTAAGATTAAATACATAAAATTTCAGATATCATAAAAATTACAATAAATTATGTATATTTAAAGACTGTTAAAATAATAAAGATTAATGACTAGAGTCACAAATTGTTTAGAATCAAGAAGTAAAGCAACAAGAAAATATGACATAATAAAAAGACAAAAAAAAGATATACATACTTTTTTCTTAAAGCAACAGCAACAACAAAATAATAATTTTTGAACAACTACTATATACCAGTTACTATTCTGTAGTAGTGTTCCTTAGCTCTGTTCACACACAATAGTCTTCTGGCCTCGGTATAGGTTTCCCATGAGCACAAATAAATGTTCTGGGATTCCAATTCTTCTCAATGTTATCCCTAACTACGTTTTTAAGTAGATCAATTTCACTTAATCTTTCTTTTTTCTTTTTTTCTCACTAGTTTATTTACAAAATTCTAATACAAATTTGAGCAAATTCTTTCACTCACCCCCAACCCATCAAATTGTACAACTCAATGATTAATCCCCTTTTCCCCCTGTACATGCACATCACTCTGCTTCCAGCCTCTCCCATTCCTCCTGGATCCTTATACTCATTCTGTAATAACGGTGGGACTAAGTTAGTTCACTCAGCATAATGCTCTCAAGTCCCTCCCAAGCTAGGTAATAATTTACAAAGCTATTGCTCCTGCGTGCTGCATATTTCATTGTGTGAATGTACTATAACTTCTCAATTAATTCATTTGTGACTGGACATTTGGGCTGTTTCCATGTTCTTGTGATGGTGAATAACACTTGCAGAAAGCTCAAGTGTGAGATGTGGTGTGAGATCCACATCTCACACCATACACAAAAATCAACTCAAGGTGGATCAGAGACCTGGGAGCAAAGCCCAAAACCAAAATGTTCATAAAAGACAAACTAAGATCAAGCTTAGAAACACTAGTCTGAGGCATAAAGAGACTGCCAAATACAAGATAAAATTGATGCATGGGACCTTCTAAAGATTAAATCTCTGTGCATATCAAAAACTTTTTCCAACAGGGAGAAAAGAAAAACCTACAGACTGGGAACAAACATCTCAGACAAAAGCCTTATAACAAAAGTTTACAGAATACTCCTGGGCCTCCACAAGAAAAAGACTGATAACCCGATTAGAAAATGGGCAAAAGACATGGAAAGAATTTTCGCAGATGAAGATATTTGAATGCAAACAGACACATGAAGAACTGCTCCAAATCACTGACAATAGAAGAGATGCAAATCAAAACCACAATGAGGTATCCCTAACTTCTTATGATCAACACAGTCAAATATATTTGCATAGTCAATAAAGCTTAAGTAGACATTCTTCTGGTATTCTGTAATTTCAGCCAGGATTCATCTAATATCAACAATCATATTTCTGGTACCATAGTCTCTTCTAAATCCTGCTTGAACTTCTGGCAGTTCTCTATCTATGTATTGTTCTAGCCATTGTTGGATGATCTTCAGCACTATTTTGCTTTCATGTACTATTAATGATATTGTTCATAAGTTTCCACATTCTGTTGGATCACCTTTTTGGGAAATGGGAACAAATATGGACCTCTTCCAGTCTGTTGGCCAGACAGTTATCCTTCAGGTCTGCAGGTCTGAGGGCCCCAAACTAATTTTCTGACAATGGCATCCTCGGGGAGCCCTCTCCTGTCTTCCTGGGGTCTTAATTCTGTCCCACTCAAATTACAAAACCAACTCAGGAACAGGTTTGAGGCCTTGAGCACCAATGAGCATAGACAAAATGAGCTCTGGGAGGATATCAAGAAAATTGTCTATGAAGAATGCAAAAGATCATTACAAAGGCTGAAGAAGAAGAAGAAAAGACCAAGATGGATGTCACATGAGACTCTGAATATTGCATTAGAGTGCCAAGAAGCCAAAGCTAAAGGAAGAAATCAAGAAATCAAAGAGCTGAACAGAAAATTTCAAAAGGCAGCTCAGAACGACAAAGCAAGATACTGTAATAAAATGTGCAGAGAGCTGGAGTCAGAAAATCAAAAGGGCTGGACTCGCTCAGCATTTCTTAAGCTGAAGGAGTTGAAAAACAAATTCAAGCCATGGGTGGCAATACTTAAAGATAGTTTGGTAGAATGTTGAATGATCCAGGATGTATAAAAAGAAGACGGAAGGAGTACACTGTACTCCTGTACATTGTATCAGAAGGATACAGAGTCACTGTATCACAAGGAATTGGCTGACACAGAGGAATTTCATGAAATAACATATGAGCAAGATCCTACCGTGATGAAAGAGGAAGTTCAAGTTGCTCTGAAGGAATTGGCAAAAAACAAGGCTCCAGGAGTTAACATCATACCAATTGATTTATTTCAACAAACAGAGGCTGTTCTGGATGTGCTCACTAGGTTGTGCCAGAAAATCTGGAGCACAGCCAGCTGGCCTACTGACTGGAAGTGATAGATATTTGTTCCCATTCCAAAAAAAGGTGACCCAACAGAGAGTGGAAATTATCAAACAATATCATAGATATCACATGCAAGCAAGATTCTGTGGAAAATTATCCAAAAACGTTTGGAAAAATATGTCACCAGAGAACTGCCAGATGTGCAGGCTGGATTTAGAAGAGGTTGTGGTGCTAGGGATA